AGAGATGAAGAAATAAATCGAAGTGAAGAAAAAAAATGACAAAGAAAAATGAATCAGGCAAAAAAGAAACAAAGAGAGGAGGAGAAAAAAAAAAGAAAACCGAGAGATGGCTGCCCAGATTCGCACTGCCTTTCAGGCTTGGTAACACTGTAGTGCTAGACTGCCTTAATGTCTATCTTGTATTTTGCGTAGCACGTTACTATAGTTCTGCCTATTTTAAACATCCCTGATGCTTAATGAAGCTTTGATTTCGTTATTTCATTATTTGAAACAGAATTCATGAACAGGTGTTGTTGCAACTTCCTAGTTCTTCATGACGTTAGTCGCCGAGTTACTTAATTAACTTGTTCCGGATTTCGTGTGTTCTCGGTAGTGGTCGGCACGACGTTGCTAGAGGAATAATCTAGTAACGTTTAAACCATTTTACGGCGAAAAATGCGGGGGAAAATGTATATGCAAGACAAAACAAAAAGGCACTCGCACAGGCGAACACGATACCGACTCGCCTGGCACTTACTTTCTCTTAATTACATTACTAGTTGTTCGGGATGTTTTCCGTCTTTTAGCCTTCCATGTTCCAACCTTGTAGTTTTTGTGGAACTTCAAGCTTTGTTCGTGCGCCGAGATATAACCGCTTCGTGGTAAAAATAGATTACCGCAGCTTTCAGTTCTTTAAGCCAATATCTTCAGGGCACCGTCTAGACTATCTTAACGTGGGTAACAAAACTTCCACGAACTCGTTCATTCTTCAGAAAGAACAGCAGAAAAAAAAACAAATTAAGGTAACTTCGCGCCAGAGGTGCAAACCTGAAGAATCTGAGCAAATTTCTTTCCTTGTTTTTTTTCTTTTTCTTTCATTTTTTTCGCGTTCTGTTCCAGTTTATTCCTGTTTTATTTTCTTTATTTGTACTTGTTTCCTTGTTTTCCCTATTTTGTTTTCTTTCTTCCTCTCTCTTTTTATTTCTTGTTTGCTTATTTTTTCAATATTCACACGTGGTTTGTGTTATCCTGTTTCTCCAGCCATAGAACCGACTTGCGCACTTAATATCATCATCACGGCGCTTGAAGAACGAGATGAAAAATGCTTCTTTTTGACGCGAGTGTGTGCTCAATTTGCTTTCTCTGGCATGTGTGGTTTTGTCTGCGTTACGCCAAGCGACGACGACGGCGTACGACAGCTAAAGCGTTCCGCACTTTAAAAGAGAAAGAACGTCGCGGTCCAAAAACAGTTGATCACGAGAGAGCTCTTGCGGCTTCTTTCGGTGGTCTTTTTCTTCTTCTTCTTCTTCCGAGTGTAAGTAATTGCTTCCGCGACACGCGCACTCAGCGAAACAAACGACCTTTTTTACGCGCGCCACCCGAGTGCAACTCTCCGCAACACAATGGCCATCTCCGTAGACCCGCGGCCTCCGCTCATCTGATTGAGCCCTTCTCTCCACCTATACCCTGCACCGTCCCCTGCGACGAGGTCTTCTCCTCAGCACTCGTAATTCGCGGAGCAAAGCGTCACCAGCAAAGCGCATACGGTGCCGTTAAGTTGTCCCACACCGCGGTTTACAAGGCGAAACCGACGCGCTCGTTTAACGGTGTTTTGAGTAGCGCGCGAACATTTGCGTGTTTAGCAACGGAATTCTTCGACGCTATCGAACTATGCTAATTTTAATAATTGCTATGAACTTCTCGAGCCAAACGTAGCATATGAGTATGAGACACGCCGTAGTGTGTAGCAATGGATTAACTTCGAGCACCTGAGGTCAAATTTAATTTACTGTGACTCCAAACAGAAGCACACGGGCGCTTTGCATTTTGCATATTTTTTTTTTAGTTTGCTCCCATCGAAATGCGGCCGCCATGGCCGGGAGTCGAACCTGCGCCCTCTAACTTCGCAGCGTCATACTTCCCCTGTTAAGCAACCACTGTGGGCGCATTGCGAGTTTTCATTCAGGAAAAAAAGAAAAAGAAGAAGAAAAAAAGGGTTGCACGAATTCACCAGATTGACTTATGTGCACTTAAAACACCAAAATGGGCTGTTTAGGTCTATCTGCCATTCAGATATTTTAGGGTTGTCACTTAAAAGTAAGATTAATTGCTGGACGGAGGAGTGAGCGGCAGTTTGAGAAAGCGCCGCAAAGCCATTCAGTATACTCGTAGACGACTCTCTGGTTAGCGTTTTCGGTCGTGTGCTGTCGTTGTCGCTTGGCTGCATGTGTAGCATATTGAGTGCGCGCTCGCACCGAGGAAAAGTTTCCTTTCCCTCGTTCTTCGAGCGCTTTGAAGATGGTCACTTATCATCAGCAGCAAACGAACAACTAGGGCGTTTTGCATAACGCTAGCAACACCGCATCTCCTTGTAGGAAAAAAAAATGAAGTAAGCGTGTAAATCGAAAGAGAGATAAAGAGGGGAAAGTGGGAAGAAAAATAGAAAACGCAAGACGTAGAAGTAGGCATTAAAGAGAGAGAATGAAGAACATTAAATCGAAGGTGAAAGTAAAAAAACTGACAAAGCAGAAAATGAATCAGGCAAAAAGAAGAAAACAAGAGAGGAGAGGCGGAAGAAAAAAAAAGAAAACCGGAGAGATGGCCTGCCCAGATTCGCACTGCCTTTCAGGCTTGGTAACACTGTATTGCTAGACTGCCTTAATGTCTATCTTGTATTTGCGTAGCACGTTACTATAGTTCTGCCTATTTAACATCCCTGATGCTTACGAAGCTTTGATTTCGTTATTTCATTATTTGAAACAGAATTCATGAACAGGTGTTGTTGCAACTTCCAGTTCTCATGACGTTAGTCCGCCGAGTTACTTAATTAACTGTTCCGGATTTCGTGTGTTCTCGGTATGGTCGGCACGACGTTGCTAGAGGAATAATCTAGTAACGTTTAAACCATTTTACGGCGAAAAATGCGGGGGAAATGTATATGCAAGACAAAACAAAAAGGCACTCGCACAGGCGAACACGATACCGACTCGCCTGGCACTTACTTTCTCTTAATTACATTACTAGTTGTTCGGATGTTTTCCGTCTTTTAGCCTTCCATGTTCCAACCTTGTAGTTTTTGTGGAACTTCAAGCTTTGTTCGTGCGCCGAGATATAACCGCTTCGTGGTAAAATAGATTACCGCAGCTTTCAGTTCTTTAAGCCAATATCTTCAGGGCCACCGTCTAGACTATCTTAACGTGGGTAACAAAACTTCCACGAACTCGTTCATTCTTCAGAAAGAACAGCAGAAAAAAAAAACAATTAAGGTAACTTCGCGCCAGAGGTGCAAACCTGAAGAATCTGAGCAAATTTCTTTCCTTGTTTTTTTTCTTTTTCTTTTCATTTTTTTCGCGTTCTGTTCCAGTTATTCCTGTTTTATTTCTTTATTTGTACTTGTTGCCTTGTTTCCCTATTTTGTTTTCTTTTCTTCCTCTCTCTTTTATTTCTTGTTTGCTTATTTTTTCAATATTCACACGTGGTTTGTGTTATCCTGTTTCTCCAGCCATAGAACCGACTTGCGCACTTAATATCATCATCACGGCGCTTGAAGAACGAGATGAAAAATGCTTCTTTTTGACGCGAGTGTGTGCTCAATTTGCTTTCTCTGGCATGTGTGGTTTTGTCTGCGTTACGCCAAGCGACGACGACGGCGTACGACAGCTAAAGCGTTCCGCACTTTAAAAGAGAAAGAACGTCGCGGTCCAAAAACAGTTGATCACGAGAGAGCTCTTGCGGCTTCTTTCGGTGGTCTTTTTCTTCTTCTTCTTCTTCCGAGTGTAAGTAATTGCTTCCGCGACACGCGCACTCAGCGAAACAAACGACCTTTTTTACGCGCGCCACCCGAGTTGCAACTCTCCGCAACACAATGGCCATCTCCGTAGACCCGCGGCCTCCGCTCATCTGATTGAGCCCTTCTCTCCACCTATACCCTGCACCGTCCCCTGCGACGAGGTCTTCTCCTCAGCACTCGTAATTCGCGGAGCAAAGCGTCACCAGCAAAGCGCATACGGTGCCGTTAAGTTGTCCCACACCGCGGTTTACAAGGCGAAACCGACGCGCTCGTTTAACGGTGTTTTGAGTAGCGCGCGAACATTTGCGTGTTTAGCAACGGAATTCTTCGACGCTATCGAACTATGCTAATTTTAATAATTGCTATGAACTTCTCGAGCCAAACGTAGCATATGAGTATGAGGACACGCCGTAGTGTGTAGCAATGGATTTAACTTCGAGCCACCTGAGGTCAATTTAATTTACTGTGACTCCAAACAGAAGCACACGGGCGCTTTGCATTTTGCATATTTTTTTTTTTAGTTTGCTCCCATCGAATGCGGCCGCATGGCCGGGAGTCGAACCTGCGCCCTCTAACTTCGCAGCGTCATACTTCCCCTGTTAAGCAACACTGTGGGCGCATTGCGAGTTTTCATTCAGGAAAAAAAGAAAAAGAAGAAGAAAAAAAGGTTTTGCACGAATTACCAGATTGACTTATGTGCACTTAAAACACCAAAATGGGCTGTTTAGGTCTATCTGCATTCAGATATTTTAGGGTTGTCACTTAAAAGTAAGATTAATGCTGGACGGAAGGAGTGAGCGGCAGTTTGAGGAAAGCGCCGCAAAAGCCATTCAGTATACTCGTAGGACGACTCTCTGGTTAGCGTTTTCGGTTTGTAGCGTAACATCTGTTGCCGAAATTGATGTGCATCTTGCTCGATAATCGCCGGTAGTCTGCTAGCGCCGATATACCGTAGTTAATCTCCTAATTCGGCTTTCTGGGTTTGCGCGACGGCACAGAAAAGAAACATCGACCGGCAGCGACGGTAAAGCTCCCTTTCGCATTTTTCTGGTTTTCTTTTCTCGATCGCGCCTGTCGTGCCGTACACGAGAGGACTCGACAAACGCGGAGAGGTCCTTCAACCCGAAGTGGCCCGTGGTCTATCCCGATGTTGCGTCACCAAAAAGGAGAAGAGACAAGCGCCGCGCTTCGCCGCATAGCAGAGAGGTCGGCTTGCCCGCAAGGCGCTTACCTAACCGGACGAGACGGCACCATATGGAGACATCGTGAGCTGGGCTGCCCTCTCCGTCGACGCTGCCCTCTGAACCCTGCGTGAACTGGCGCCGCCGCGGCACCCGCGTGCGATGTGTTCCTTGGCGCCGTGGCGCGTGCGCAACACCAGTGGGCGTTCGAGAAGCTAGCAAGATAGAAAGGCGACGTGCGTAGACAACGCCGCCGACGGCGCGCGCCGGAAGCCTGGCGTTTGCCTCGCTTAGGCGCGGCCGGCGGATGTCACCGCGTCACGATTTCACCACTCGACCTTGTGTGACGGCCGAGGAAACCGAGCATTCTCACTTCCCATTGAATGAAAAGGGGAAACAAAGACAGCTTTCCTCCCCCCTGGTGTCATAACTGGAAAAAATGGAAACGTATATCCTCGCCTGTAAACGTTTATTCTCACGGCATCGGTTACTATGGGGTTTTGTGACATCCACAACAGGTGACGCAAAGAGACGCCACTCTTATCGATAGTCGACGTCTATTTCCGCTAAATGATTCTGCGCCTGTAGACACTTTTTTCCGGAGGTTTCGCGGAAATAGCGAAACCTATACGTGGCGCCTTTATTTCAAGAAGAAAAGGTCGCTATGACAAATTAGATCAGAAAAAAAAGAACGTCATCCTCGTCAAGTTTGCAAGCTATCAAAACGTTTTATGCTACATGCACTTTTTAGCATAAGTAAACGCACGTATCGTTTATAAAATGCGCGTATGGCATTTATTTATTTATTTATTTGGATTCGAGGATTGGCCACATGGCATGACTTGGTTTCCAAGCTGAGTTTCACTCCTGAGGGGAGGGAAGCATGCCACTGTGGCCGCTGCTTGACGTCATCTGCGACCGGATCGATAACGCCACGGGTGTCGCCGACTGACGGGCATCGGAGCAAACGCGGCGCATTTTGCTTCGCTTCACGGCGCCGCCGCCGAACGCCCACGCTGACCTAGATCGAGACGCGCCGAAAGGGCAACGTGCAGGCTCGAGCTAATTAGGAGGGATGGACTTGTAGCGCACGACAAATTGAAAACGCGAGCGCCATTAGCTTATATGTATACACTCCTAGGTGCTAAGAACCTCAGCACGAGTGGTGGAGGGGTTGAGTGAGAGGCGGGACGTTTACCGACACGACACTACCCCGACGAATAATTGAAATTGACGTGTAATGCATAGAACACATTAAAGATCGACAGTGAGAGCAATCATCGAACGTAGTGCTTACAGAAGCGAAGAGAAACGCTTTTAAAGACTGCAGAAGATAAGTTGTGTAATTATGAGATCACGACACTTTCAGGCAGGAATAATTTTTTTGAAGCAGCACAAAAGTATCTTCATATAAAAATGGCTTGAAAAGCATACTTTGTCTTGCAAGTCGACAATGATTTTAAAAAAAAGAGAGAAAAAGCTGACTATGACATTCATCGGTCACCGGCTATAATAATACAGTTCCCATAAACAGACAAAAAATTTCGCCGTGTGTGTACATTGTCCAACAGGTGTGTTTAAAAGCACTCTCTATTACTTGATCTTTTTTGTTGTTTTTTTCTCTGTCTTAAAACATATTTCAAACACGTTGAAAATTTAGATGTTTAAAACATGCACCTGAATCAGACAGGTCTTTATTTATTATTTATTTATTTATTTATTTATTATTTATTTATTTATTTATTTATTAATACATTAATTCAATCATTAATTCATTCATTTACAGATACCACGCTCTCCATAGGAAATTTTAGCAGGGTGGAAATACATTATATTATGGTAAGAAGGCGGGCAACAAAGCTAAGAAGGGCAGCGTACATTGCTGCCAAGAACACAAGTAAAACAAATACATCGATAATGCGGAAAGTACATTTTTGTGCATTTGCGCATTTAAACACAGCACGTATACGAAACATCAACTGCATAAAAATGGCAAAAAGAAATACAATGTTCTGCAAGCATTTTTTTTTGCAAGAATATTTTATTTCCTTGATAAACACGAGGTCGTAGATTCAGTTAAGTGCGATAAAAAATTATAACAGCGAAGATCTTGTGCTGGGCTCTAAGTACGGTTCAGAAAATACCAGAATCAAAGGTGACCATTTGGCAGCAGTCTCCCTGGTTTGATTGGAATGAAGCAATAAAAAAAAGTGCCGCCATATCCACGAAGTGAATGATGATGAGTGGGCGAAGCTCTGGAGGAAAACCTGGCAAACCATGAATCTTCCGTACATTTTGCCCACTCGATTTTATTACAATGCTCCCCCCCTAGCGTACGTCGCTGCACTAAATCGAACGATTGCCTTCGACCAATGACACCTGCCATATGTGACATCATTCCTATTTTATAACATCTCGCATCTTTCATCATCAACTACAAGTGCCGCCGTCTAGTTTATAACATCTTGCATCTTTTCATCATCAAGTACAAGTACCGCCATCTAGTGAACACTGCAAGAACTAAACGAGAGGTGGCTACATACAAGGGACGCTACCGCCATCTAGTGAACACTGCAAGAACTAAACGAGATGTGGCTACATACAGGGGACGCACAGCCCACGCCCTAAGGAGCTTCGCCCCTAAAACTCCAACCGAAAAATCTATTCACAAACCCAACGTTTCGAGGCCAGACCACCTTCTTCCTCAAGGGTGAAAAAGTCTGAGATGTGCGGCGCTTATATACGCTTGCTCGCCTTGCCTCCAAATTTCGCTGCAACCCGCACGAAACCCGACGATAGAGGTAGGACAATGTCCCATTGAATTGATTGATTGAGTGATTCTAGAAAGGAGGGAAGAAGGCGCCTAATTTCTGTCTGCCTCTTGGACGACACGGCGCAGTGGTCGATGTTCCCCGCTGTCTGCTGAATGTGCCGGGATTCGAGGAGCATCGAATCGCCGGTAGGTGCTCCTTTCTTTTTCACCACATCCATCTGAACGATGCAGTGATACCACGTTGCTTTAAACGGTGATGTTTCACGTGCTGATTTTATTATGAATGCAACCAACTCGCCAAGTCTTACAGAATTTTTCATTGTATGCAATGCCTTTTTCCAAAGCTTTAGAGCTAGGTTAAGATTTCCTAACAATTAACCTAGTGAATTGAATTGAAAACTAGTTTTTTATAACTCGGTGAATAAAAACTACAACTTGACATAAACTTTTAGGACTTCTGGATTGACTAAATTAGATTATTTGCAGGCAACAATGCCGTAAGCTAATTCAGGACAGCAGTAATTAAAGATCGCGTGAATATTTACCTCGTTTCACAGTGGTCACAATAAATTACCATGACTACCGTCAGATTTACAAGGACGGAGGTATCGGCGGGAGTGGTGGTGGTGGTAGTATGTTTTCGACGCAAGTACAAGAAATCCGAAGACTTTATGCACGTAATTTTGGCAAGTTAACCGAAATTTATTCAGAAATATACAAAAAATTCAACGCAGTCACCTTTACAAAAAACTTTAAACGCGTTCACCTTTAAATAAACAAAGCAAAGTAACAACAAAATAATTAAACGAATGATGCTCTCCGCCTTTAATTCAATACTCAGATCAACAACAAACAAAAAATGGCAGCATATCCACGGAGGTGAATGATGGAGAGTGGGGCGAAGCATTCGTCCGTCCATGCGTCGTCTGTGTGACCGTCCATGCGTCTGTTTGTGCGCCCGTCCCTGCGTTCTTTCATGCATCCGCCCCTGCGTCCGTTCATAGCGTCCATCCATGCATCTGTTTGCTGTGTCCGTGCGTTCACCTATTCAACACTCCAAGTCCACCATCTCGCATCTTTTTATCATATATTCCCCATATAGAAGCAACCGCCATCCAGCGGACATTCCAAGGACTAAACGAGAGGGTGGCACACGCACACTTCTTACGGCTGCGCTTTGTGTCCACTTCCCACCTTAACCACCTCGAGTTCATGGTATATTCTAGTTCATTGTATTCATGGGCACTGCGACCAAACGCTCGCTAAACCTTTCGAAAACCAAGGAGGTTACGCCCAGCGAGTATAACGTAGCAACCTTTCCCTGTCAGATAGTGCTCAATTTCCTGCCAATGGCTGCTAGTGAGAAATGAGGTAGACAGGGAATTCGGCTTTTACTTTCTTAAGGCTTACGCTTCGTATCTATTTCTCATTTTAACCACCTTGAGTTCATCATGGTCATATACAAGTTCATTGTATTCATGGCACTGTGACTCCAAACAGAAGCACACGGGCGCTTTGCATTTTGCATCTTTGTTTTTTTTTTAGTTTGCTCCCATCGAAATGCGGCCGCCATGGCCGGGAGTCGAACCTGCGCCCTCTAACTTCGTAGCGTCATACTTTGCCTGCTAAGCTACCACAGTGGGCGCAGCGCGAATCTTTTCATTCGGAGAAAAAAAGAAAATAAAGAACAAGAAAAAAGTTGCATGAATTCACCACGTTGACTTATGTGCACCTAAAACACCAAAATGGGCTGCTTAGGTCTATCTGTCATTCAGATATTTTAGGGTTGTCACTTAAAGAAAAGTAAGATTAATTGCTGGACGGAGGAGTGAGCGGCAGTTTGAGAAAGCGCCGCAAAGCCGTTCAGTATATTCGTAAACGACTCTCTGGTTTGCGTTTTCGTTTTGTAGCGTAACATCTGTTGCCGAAATTGATGTCCATCTTGCTCGTTAATCGCCGGTCGTCTGCTAGCGCCGATATATCGCAGTTAATCTCCTAATTCGGCTTTCTGGGTTTGCGCGACGGCACAGAAAAGAAACATCGACCGGCAGCGACGGTAAAGCTCCCTTTCGCGTTTTTATGGTTTCCTTTTCTCGATCGCGTCTGTCGTGCCGTACACGAGAGGACTCGACAAACGCGGAGAGGTCCTTCAACCCGAAGTGGCCCGTGGTCTATCCCGATGTTGCGCAACCAAAAAAGGAGAAGACCGCGCTTCGCCGCATAGCAGAGAGGTCGGCTTGCCCGCAAGGCGCTTACCTAACCGGACGAGACGGCACCATATGGAGACATCGTGAGCTGGGCTGCCCTCTCCGTCGACGCTGCCCTCTGAACCCTGCGTGAACTGGCGCCGCCGCGGGACTGGCACCCGCGTGC